AACGCCAGTTGGAAATATTCACACTGTTGGTCCCATCAGAGTAGCTGACAGTCCGCAGCTCCGACCATCTCTGTACTCACTGTTTTTGTTCAAGTTTTTCCACTAGTTGGTGCCTAATCCACTTCTGTATAGTTCCTTTCAAAGCTCAGGGCTCCAGGATTATTTCCCTGCCAATTGGTTTTTCTTTTCTTTGTTGAAGAGGATTTGTGTTGCTTGTCTGCCTATTCCTCCATCTTACTAGAAGTCCTACCCATTCTCTTGTTGATGGTCATTTAAGTGGTTTCCTATTTTTCCTTTTTGCAAACATTGTAGCAGTGAACATTCAGGCACAGGTATAGTAGTTTTCTGGGGTCTATAATATAGTACTATTGCTGGATTATGATGTATACCATTTCAAACTTTACTAACCATTGTCAAAAGTCTTTCAAAGTATTATACCAAATTACACCTCTATCAGTAGAGAAGCAGAACGTAAGAGTTCAAATTGTTTCATGTCTTTGTTGATACTTGGTATTGTAAAACTTTTTATTTTGCTATTTGATATATTTACTTTACATTTCCATGATTACTACTGACTGTAAACACTGCTTCATATATTAATTGAACATTTGGATTTTCTTTTCTGTCAATTGCCTGCTCATATCATTTTCCATTTCACTATTGCACTCTTTTTACTTTTATAATTTATATATATATATGTATATTTTAACATATTTTTGATAGTAATCTTTGTTGTTGTTGCTTCTAGATGTGTAAAGCTTCCCTCAATCTTTGGCTTTTCATTTTGTTTGTATTATCTTTTTGTGCACCCAAGTTTTATTTAAACAATTAAATTTATCACATTTAAAAAAATTTTTTTATTTCAATTATTATAGTTTTAATTCCCATAAATTTTATTTGGTTCTTTTATAAATCTGCCTAGTCCTTTTCAATAATATCCTTTCTTGAGTTTTTTTTAATGTCTTTATCATGTTAAAGGTTTTTTAATCACTAGCTTATAATTTTATTAATCAGTCTATTTAGTTTATTTCTGTAGACTCTTGTTGAATGTTTTTCCACATGTGTTTTGTAATTTTTGAGTGAGAACTCATTTTAGGGGGATCAGTGGGAATCTTGTGAAGCCTGGTTTGAGAGTGGTTCTCTACAGAGAGAATTCCATTTATTTCTGCCAATGTCCCAGAGTTATTACCAGCTTGGAATCTTTTTGCATGTTAATAAGTAAAATCCATTTACAAAAAAGAAGAAATTCAAATCATATCCCATAATAATAAAATTCAAATCCCAACCCACATGATGACTGGCCTTTGGATACAAATTCTCTAGGGAGGTTCCCCCCCGCCCCAATCTAGTTTGGGTACCTTGTTTTCCCTTTTGCCAGTAGATGGATTTTTTTTTTTTTTCCTAGCTCTCTCTTTCATAATGCTGGATTTCTTTCTCTCTCTCTTTCTCTCTGGGACTCAGTTACAACTCCTTGCTTTGTACAGACCCAATTACTTTCTTCTGTTATCTTATGGCACAGTGGTTAAGCACTCAGCTGCTAACTGAAAGGTCAGTGGTTTGAACCCACTAGATATGTGGCAGTCTGTTTCTGTAAAGATTACAGCATTGGAACTCTGTGGAGCAATTTTACTCTGTCCTGTAAGGTCTCTACAGTCTGAAATTGACTTGTCAATGGCAATGGTTTGGGTCCCCACACAGCCAGTGAAATCTGGACCCATTTGTTTAGAAAAGCAGCAACTATCCCCACTGTTTCCCCATCCCCAAAAAATACAGCATAACACTGTATGACCAGTTTGGATTAACAAAGATCAGGGCCCTGGAGATTTTCCTGACTTTTGAAAACTCAGTTATTTATTTTTTTTTAATGTTCGTTTTAGCAGTTATTAATGCTTTGTGTGAAGAGGATTCCCAGTGTTTCAACTCTACAATTTCGTCAAAAATAGAGGATAAGGTGGGATTATATATCTCTCTCAGGAATTTTATAATTTTAGAAAAAAACTCAATTCAGCTCAGCAAACAATTATTGAATGCCTTCTGTGTACTAGCTACTATTTAGAGAAATCACTAGTTTTCTAGCAGAATACTCCATTCAGTGAATAAAACAAATTAGCCTAGCTTCCTCACCAGAAGAATATATTCACAAACATATTTCAGTTCATTAATTCTCTGGAATTACATTTAAATTAAAAGGATCACATTATATCAAAGGCTTCAGCAGATAAATTTCAGTATTTTAGATAAAATCCCTATCTTCAGATAAAAGTCTAGCACTTAATTCTCAGCTACTGCAATGTGTAGATATTACATTATTAACACAGAAATGGTAAAAGGAAGAGCTACATCACATATTTTTCAAAATTCTGTATTTGTTTCTTTGTGTTTAGATTTTCTACTCCCTCAGTATAAGAGATTTGATGGTATGTAGTCAAGTTTGTCGCTCTTGGATGTTCATGACACAAAGAAGCACATTGTGGAATGCTGTAAGTAGATACTATGTGATGCAGCTTTCTAATCCTAGTTATTAGAAGAAAATGGACTGCTGTAGAGACAACTATAACAAGACTGCCTTCTTCCCTGTTCCTCTCTATGTAGCCACCAGCGAAGTGCTTTGTTATTCTATTGTCCAGGCACAAGCCTGAAGGAAGAGATGAAAAAAAGGAAATAATTTTATCCTAAGAAAAACAAGCTGGAGTGGAAGCTTGACTTGACAAGGAATCTTTTGGGGGTGATGGAAATGTTCTAAAACTTGACTGTAGTGATGGTCATACAACTCCTTAAATTTACTTTAAAAATTGAGTTGTTTGGTTAAAATGGGAGGATTTAATGGTATATAAATGATAACTTAAGAAAGCTGTTCAAATACAAAGGAAAAGAAAAAAATATATAAGCTACTTTTTCCATGGGGTCCTTCCTGACTACTCCACTCTCCTTCCCCCGCCCCCCCAGAAAATCCAACCCCTCATACCTGCTTTACTTTTTTTAAAAAATAGCACTAATCACCTTTTAATAAAGTATAAAATTTTCAAAATAAATACCATATTAGTATTTTCTAACTTAAATGATAAATATAAATTTAATATTGTCTTTTGGATTGAAACAGAAAGCCTCTTTATATTCAGTGGTTTGTACCCCATCCTGAGTTCATTATTAATGTGTGTTCTTCCTTTTTTATGAGCACAATGTATTGTCCCTTGATTATGGGAAAGACAGTTTTGAACAGTTTTGATGGTCTTTTCATAGCTCATAATTCAGAAAGGATAGTTGTAGAGAAAAAGAAGGATATGACCTCAGTGTGTATCATGAGCAGGGCTGATTTTTAGGTTAATTCTCAGGTCCTGTCTCCACTTAGAAATATTCAGACTGTCCATGCCGTCAGGATAGCTGACAGTCTGAAGCTCCGTTTGTCTCCTTATTCACTGTTTTCATTCAGGTTCTTCTACTAGTTGGTGTTTAATCCCCTTATCCTTCCTTTCAAAGCTCAGGGCCCCAGGATTATCTTCCATAGCTGTGTCAACTGGTTTCTCTTTTCTTTGTTGAAGAGGGTCTGTGTAGCTTGTCTGCCTATTCTGTCATTCTACTAGAAGTCCAGAAGGGCAAATTCTTAGGCTCCATCCTGCACCTGTGGGATCAGAATTCAGGGAGTAGCATCCAGTAACCTGTGTTTTAATAATCTCCCTAGATGATTCTGATGCATGCTAGTTCGAGAATCACTGTCTTAAACTAAAAATGGACTTAAGGCAGGAATATCTAATTTTTGAGCTTAGATGGGTAAGCTAAGATGAAAGCCAAGGCTGACTGCCAGGGTCTTTCCAAAGCACATAACCCTTCTTGCTACTGATGCACAGGGTAAGAGTAGAACAATGTAGCCAAGGATGGAATGGTACTCAGATGGGATGTAAACATGATGAATTGATTACAGCACCAGACCCCTGACCTTGTCAGCTCCTCTTCTTGTCTTTGTGAATATTTTAGAGTTTCTGAAGAATGACCCCAGGCCACCTACTCATTGGTCAATCTAAGCATGTCATGTCATTCTTATCCAATCATTAGCAAGTAAGGAGGGGTGATGAAGTCAGCTCTGGACTAGACTTTAGACAATAGGGAAAGTGTTGCCATCACAACTCTGATTGATGGCATAAATGATCATAGTCAGTCAGATTAAATTATCATCCAAGCAGAGACTCAAAAAGAGATTTGTATAACGTTCATTAAAGGACTGTTCACAATGGCCAAAAGGGGAAAACAACATAAATGTCCATCAACAGATGAATGGATAAACTAAATATGATACATATATACAATGGAATCCTACTCAGCCAGTAGGAGAAATTAAGCCTTGACACATGCCACATTATGAATAGAGCTTGGAGATACTATGCTGAAATAAGTCAGTCACAAAAGGACAAATATTGTATGACTGCTCGTGGCATACTGCATAAGGCATTTGACTGCTAACCAGAAGGCTGGCAGTTCAAACCTACCAGCCACTCCTTGGAAGGAAAATTGGGCCATCTACTTCCATAGTGATGCCACCTTGGAAACCCAAGGAGGAGGTGCTATGAGTCAGATCTGACTCAATGGCAGTGAGTTTGGTGTTTTGTTTGGTCATTTATATAAAAAGACAAGAAAAGGCAAATGTATAGAAACCAAAGCTTATTAGT